CTCACTGCTTAATGCAGCCACAGATTCGACCTTGAAGAGGCTGGTCCCGCCACTAATGTTCAAATTTGTTCCAACCCACTAATGGTGCTCCACGAGTTTCTCGGTCGCCCGCTGGCGCTTTATTTCCCTAAGAGTGGTTGCATGTTGGCAGTCACATCCGTCGGGCATCTTAGCTATGCGTTGCGGTCATGCATGCTCCCCTCCGACTTCAACGTATGTGTGTGGACAGTTGCCCTGTCCCGTGCTCACCGGCGTCAATCCCTCCTTCTGTCGTCGTATCGTCGATGCGACTCATTCCTCCGTCGGTCGTCACTTCTCCACCTGGACGAATCACCAGAACCACCTTTCGAAATCACAACAGGCTGGTGGAGAGGTCGTTTCAAGGGCTTCTCCGGGTTGGTGGTTGCTCTCGCCGCGGCTTGCCGTTCCCACATCTCCTTTGATTTGACGCAGATGTCGTCGATTTGCTCCTGAATGCAATGGTCAATTATGGGTGCCCCGGTGGCTTCCGTGATTCGAATCGGCGAGGCTCACATCTGTTAGACAAGGGCCGGGAGTGGTAATCAGGAAACCATCTTCTCCCTACATGGAATCAGTGAGCGAAGTCAAGCCATCAAGTCACCGGGATCATACCTCACGAGTGTACGGCCGGACCGTCGCTTCAGGGCCGAGATAATACTGAAGTTCCTGGGTGATCACTTTCTTATGGATATCAAGGTGCGGGATCCAATATTTGTTCATGGTAGAGGATGGCATGCTGCCTTGGGATAGGACACAACCGAGATGATCGACGGAGGCCCTTCAAGTTTGGTTTGTCATATCGAAGATCCGGGGATTCGGCTGGTATTTATCTTCCCCGAGGCTTAGTATGGGATGGGCTGGGAAGTATCGCTATGGCGTCCAATATCACGGAACTTACTATGCAGTGAAGCCCACTGCAGGTCGTCGTGTTCACCGCCGAGCCCACCCTTCTACCAGTACAAAGACATATCAGCAGTATCATCCGCTGCATACATCAGTGGTGCATGTAACAGTCGATAGATACTTGCATGCTAAGGGAATGGGGAATGAATGCGCAACCCTGGTTTGGCGGAGGCGCTTCAGTGGTGCAATGTCCGCCTCACTTTTCTCCGTTGATTTGAGGCTGCATCCAAGATGGACCTAATACTCGCTAACATTGGTCCTACACCACAGCCGATAAACGCGTCAAATTTCCACACCCAATATTCTTGAAATTGATACCACATTACGGCAAGATAATCACTGTTGTAGTGACACCATTGGTGCTATTCTATGCCACTTCTTCAGGCACCAAATCCTGTGACTAGGCCCTACTGCAGCCCTGCACCCGCTAAACAGGGGCTTTTGATTACTGGCAGCACCTGTATGTCCTGTTCCGTCTCCCCGTGGCTTGCGATGCGCAACGCAATCGTGCTCGGGTACAGGCTCCTCCCGGCCAACGTGAACTACTGTAAGATAGATGAATGGGTTAGGGTTTTGCTGCATCTAATTCTGGATGGTCGTATCTCATCTTTTTCATTGCAGATGTGCAGACGCCGCAAACTGCCGAGTGTCGATCTGTAAGCGGGGGCCTCAGGCTTAGCATGTTCATACTGCACACCCTCTTCTCTACACTGGGATTAAGGCCCGTTACCAAGTCAAGACCGCCCTCTTTGTTCCTGTCCAAGAATCACTGTATAGTATTCCGCCCTGCCGTCGATCCAATCTCACTCGCCTTCTAAACCTCTATCAGCTGATCAGCGTGACCATGAACCAGGATCAAGGATACAGAATCCGACCCCCTCTACATGCACAATCAGGGGCTAAGAACCAGGGTTTGTTGCAAAGATAATCTTCAACAAACCATTCAGATATCAACTCATGACGAAACAGCGACCATTTTCTGACATGGTGACATTCAAGGCAGGGCGTCGCGATGGATCTATGCACCCCAGACCCAGGAAAGGAGAATCCCTAGGATCCAAGGGCGTATCAATTCCGTACAACAGCCTCCTTCACATGTTCGGACGATTGGATATCATGTACTGTTATACATTCGTTTGTCAGTAGATGTCCTTATCCTCTCCTGCGGGTGACATGCATCATCTCCGAACGTATGCTGGAAGGGAGGAAGCGCGACTACCCCGATCCATAACTATATCTGGAGGTTTATTACCAAAAACACCAGTGGACCCAGGTAGTAATCACAGCTCGGGCACCACACTACCAGATTCTGTTATCATCGACGACACCTAGCTCAAAAAAGATATTGCACGTTCTGATCAAGAGCAGCCTCGGGGTCGACGCCCTGCAACCGTGATACTTCTAAATTCCGAGGAAGCACCTGATATATTGGCAACGTTGTTATGCCGTGCGGCATTTTAGAGAAGTGGGTGAGTGGTAATCCTCTCTCCAAGAGCAGCCTCACTTTTACAAGAGCCCCGGTAGATAGCAGAACCTGAGAGAATTACCAGAATTTGATGGCCTCCTGATATGAAAAGTTTCGTCAGGGTCTCATATCATCGCCGCTCTGTTTTAGGGGTTTCTCGTAGACAACGGACAGGATCTATATGCTAGATTTCAGAAAACTTGGGCAATTAAAGACACGTCTTTCAAGAGGATTAATAGGACCTTACGGCACTTGACATACAATTTGCAAGGGCAACTACCGTAGAATCAGTGAAGTAAAATTCAAAGCTACGGCCAATGGAGGTACAATTTGCTAAAAAGTAGCAAGAGATTTTATTTAACTGGCTAGTACTTCCTTCATGGCTTCCCCTTTAACGCAAAACCCCAGGTATAGGCCAATTTTCGCCATTGTCCTTATCTTGCGATCTTGAAAAGTGACTGCACAGTTATCAACACTGACTCATTTCTCATTTTTGTCCTTGCGCCGGTGCTCAGCCCGATCACTGTGTACAAACTTCAACGCAATGTTGTCTATGGACGTTTTGACAAAGAGTGTGCCCAGTCGCAGAGATTGCCTGATTCAAAACACCGATCTTCTACAGAGCACGTCAGGACTTTATTAATATGAACTACCTTCAACAGCTTAGCGAAAAGAGCATACTTAAGCAATGACTCTTAGAGTTGGTAAATGCTAGGCGAGCAAATGCATGCTTAGATATTTCGCCGCGCCCGGATACGCGCCCTGATGATGAGGCGACATGGAGTAAGGCAGTAACAATCCCCTCGAACTTTGAGAGACTCATAGCTCAGGAGCGAATGACGAAATTGAATTTCAGTGTCATGAAGCATACATGAAGCTTGTGATCTCATCTCGACAAAGGCTGGATCATTATCAATGCGACTTGCCCGTGTCTACTTGTCATGCGGGCCATCTCAGGCGCTGTCGTTGTACGTCACAATCTTGGCATAGACGGCAACATTTCTCAACATGATAAAATGCGAAGTGAGGCGTACATCCGGAAGGATTTGGATCTGGCTTGTAGCGTGGTGAAGTAAACATCAAAAGCGCTAGCGTAAGGGAATCTCTGGGCAAAAACCCAATCCCTGTAAAGACTGCGGTAAGGACCCATAACCAACAGCACAGATATCTCTTATCCCCAAGATCACCGATTGAGTCCGTGCTGTTGGCTCCCGTTGTCTCGTGGTCGTGCATTCCCTGCCGAGGCGCGGTAGGTCTGATAAAGGGGCTCAAATTGCTGTCGATCACCGCCGCCTCGCCAATTGGTTGGTCCACAACAGTTCAAGTATGTAGGGTATCTGAGAGTCCTGAATACTGAATCATGGGTGCGTATCCCATGCACGCCCTGCATCCAAAAAGAGTCCTTGACGGCTTGGATTATTGTATTCAAAACTTTTTAGAGAACTCCTTCTCGTAAATTGATGACTCCGGGCCGTTAACAAGATCTACTTACTGTAGATAAGCCTTGACACGAAACTGGAAGGTAATAAACCGTACTGGTTGCATCCACAACACTGTTAGAACAGGACGTGCAAAGCAACTCCCCTGTCCGAAAAAACAGCAGGCCAAGTTGATCATCTAATAGGCATGAGCAGATCAAGAAGGCTTGTAGTCGGTGATACGAGTTTGCCAATCGCAGTGATGTCTCTAAAGTATACTTTTAAGCTTGATCGCCTGGAGATCACACTTTAGGAGCTTCTCCACAGTAATAATCACCTCATGACAAATTTCTATCGACGTGGAACTCTCATACGTAGCTTTGCAGTTGTTTATCCTATATTTGATATCGATACGTCTGGCGAATGACGCTTCATTGGAGTAATAGCGATCAAGTCTCACATGTTTTGACCAAGATCAGAGGGTAAGACTAAACCTGCTCTACCAGAAGAGATGCAATATTTGAAAGCCACCACACTTTCAACAATACTATTACGAATCGAGTCTCATAGCAAGTTCGAGAATACGGCATCATTTGAGTTGGAAATGGCTGCCTTGCGAATGTTTCCCACATGTATAGTCATTCCAGTGATCGCGTTCCGTTCTTGTTTAAAACAAGGCGCCTACAGAAGTTGCCGCCTCCATGATGATTCGATTCATGAATAGAATGAGTATTTGGTTGTCTAGGGGGTTTCATGATCTATCACACTCCGAATGTATCGGGATCATTGGTCCATGTCTATAAATTCTATTTAATGACTGATCGTGCCTCATTTGTTTACGTGAATAGTTGTATATTAGTTTCCTTATTGATTGGTATAAAGTGCGGAAAAAGACGAAAATGCCTTACCATTTCAGCCTCTATTTAGCCGTTAGATCCACAGCAATCGATTTAACACAAACGATCAAAACTGAAACGCCCTGGGGGCTGTCGTGTGTGAATATGAGTTCTCATTTGGCTCAGTGGACAGTTCACAGTTAAGATTCACATTGAACTCTTGTGGCTAGCAATGTCGAGTATGGTTTTGATTGTAGCACACTAGAAGCCGAGACAGCTGCGTCACAATTGAATGCTTGTTGCTTGAACTAAATTCCTATATACAGAGCATGTTCAACTAGGTCTTGACCTCATCGAAATCATTTCCTGCTCAACATGCCAGCCGTACATACTTCGGATGCTTTAAACCTCATCATCAGGCGCAGTCAATCGTGCCTTCATCAGGCGCCTTTCACATAAGCACACGAAAAACCAATCGAGCTGCAGACATTTTGCTCCAGAAAATATCGCTCATCTGCGGCTGGATTCTTTTGGAATTCATGTGGGGGCGTAATCCATCAAAGCCTGTAGTCCGTGGTTGGGTTCTTGATAGGTGTCAGCATGGCGCTGATTGGTGATCGCAGGATGAGTTGACGAAGTGCCACACCGCACCTGACATTAATTAGTGATCTACACTCTAAATATATGGAACTATGACCTTGTGGTTGTCCGGTCAGGTTTCCCACCTAATATCCGGCCATACAATTGGTCAATATAAAATTAGAAATAAGGACATCCGTGCACGAAACTGATCGCAGGATGACCACTATCAAAAGTTTCTCGACGTTGCATTGTCTCTTGATGACTTCAAAGCAGACACATAAGCAAGAACATAAGCGACTATTGAGCCTCTAGGGAAAAGTCTTGCACACGATGATGGCTTGAGGCCTAATGCTGTCAAGTGACTTACGTTCTTCAACCTCGGAAACCCCACTTTTTGCCTGTCCATCAAGCCGATCCTTTGTAACCCGACAGTGAATCAACGTAACCGTCTCTACGACAAATTCAAGCAGGATGAAGGGACATCAGCCTGTAGGCGCTGCTGCCAAGAAAACTGCTGATGGAGATTCACCGATGGAAGAGATGTGGGCTGCAGCGGCCCAGGCGTTTGAAAGCATATGCGGTGAATCGCTTCGGAAAGGCGATGTAAAGAGTTTCGACGATGTTCAGGAAAAAATCGAAAACAGCGGCAAGATGGATTTCGGTATTGATGCAGGACCAGAAGACAATTGGGAAAAGGCCAAAAGTGTGGGACTTGAGTCGCTGAAGTATTTGAAGATGCTTGTCGGAGCTGCTTCACAAGCCTCTTCTTTTGTGTGTTTTCTTCCGTTAGTGACTGTTCGCACATTTGCTGACATCTCAAGATCCCCATACCCGAAGCGGCGGCCAGCATAACTAGCAACGCCTTATGCTTTGTGTTTGACATCCCTCAAGCCATCAAAGGTTATAATGATGCTATTGATCAAGTATTCAGTGAAGTGTCTTCGGCACTTTCACAATTCCAAATTTATCGATCCATGGAAAATGTCGACCCATTGCTTATCAAACAGATCCATTTGGTATTGGTAAGTTTTGTCAAAGTCTGCGCTCTTGTTGTCAAATATCGCCAGGGTCGTAAATTGCATCGCTTTATGAAACAATTCAAATCCGTCTTTGATGATGACTCGGGCTTGACAGACGAGATGGCCGAGTTTAAGCGGGCTCTGCAGGGACAACGCGACGTCGAAGGAACTGTCACACTTGCTGTTGTCTCAGAATCACGGCAAGATATCGCAATGCTGCTTGAGGAATTCATCGTTTTCGGCAAAAACACTGAACAAACACAACAAGTGGTGCAGGAAACACACAAAGGCGTGCAGGCTCTGAAAGATGACTCGGACCGAACCAAGACACTTGTCAAGATCCGGGATATTCTCGGGGTGCCGTCTACAGTGCGGCTCGATACAAATACTACGCAGACATGTACCAACATCTCGGACAGATGCCTCGATGGAACTGGGTCAGTAAGTAACCTCTGTAATTCACATTTACCACTTATAGGCCTGTCTCAAGTATAAAAGACAAAGGACTAGTTCCCATCTAGACAGTTGCTTCCTTTCCTTTTACTGCCATGGCGCGATCACTGACTCTTCATTTTCTAGTGGATTTGGACACACGACGCGTATCTGGCCTGGACGGCGCCGAAAGATAAATTGAGCTCGCACGTGCTCATTGTGTCAGGCCCTCAATCTTCAGGCAAGACGTCCACCAGTGCCTTGATTACCAAACGTCTCGAGGAGCAAAAGGGGCGCACCTACGTGGGACACTACTTCTTTCCTGCTAATACGAAGAAGTCCGATGAGGATAAGAACCCTGTGCAGTCAGCGCTGAAGTACATAGCTTTTCAAATTGCTCGTGTTGATGCCACGGTGCAAAATGCCCTCAGTAAGGCATGCGACGGGGGCCCTGCCGCATTTCGTCGTTCGGCTAGCCCCGAAAATCTGGACATTTTATGGGGTGACCTCAAGATCGGAGTGCCTGGTTCAGGCGCAACATACTACCTCGTGTTCGATGGGCTTGAGAACTTACCTAACAAGCACACAGAGATGCTGCTTGGTTTTATCTTCGGTTCCAGATTGGGTGGGGAGGTGTCCGGGCGGGTACGCGTCCTTGTGAGTGGGACGGATGAGCAGCTTTCCAGATGGTTGGCAGTCGACGCTGCCCTGAGGATCCAAATGGAGAAGCAGAATGGGCCAGATATGCGCATCGTTATCGACGAGACTCTCAACAAGCAGGGGATGCTTCAGAATGTGAAGACCAATTCAGAGCAACAAAAAGCAAGGAATAAAATTGTCGAGAAACTGCCCCAGAATGTCAATGGAAGCTATTCTCTGCTGCAGTTCGGGCTGGGAAGCGTTATCCGTCTACTAAGCACACGTACGGCGATCCAGGAGTTAGACCGAATGCTCGACCAATCGATGAGTAGCCACGAGGCCGCAATTAAAAATCTGCAGCGGTCATTAACGACAGATGAGATCAGCGAGCTGAATGAACTGCTGAAGTGGGTGCTGTTTGGCAACTATTCTCTGACGTTGGATCAGCTTGAAGCTGCAATGGTGAGTAATTCTATTTGGGACTTACCAGAAGCAGACTAAATATTATTAGTTACTATACTCGGGCATATCATCTCTTACATCCCTGGAATACATCATCAAGAACAAATACTCAGCCGTGTTGAAGATTGAAGACGGCTATGTTTATGCTCAAGATGGGGTCCAGAAATACCTGGAGAAGAAGAAAGATTCAGCTGCCCGGTCATCTCTCTCAAAAGATCGCGCAACTATCAGCATGTCCATCACTATAAATAACGTAGACCAAGAGCTGTGCGGACACTTTCTCTGGGACCTCGCTGATATGGCAATCCGAGACAAATTTAAGTTCAGCTTCAGTGGTGAAAACTCCAACCCCTTGCACAGTAGTAGCAGCCAGGGCGCCATCGCTGCTGACGAGTTTGAAGCAAATCACACCATTATTACTCGGGCATTTGAATACCTCAACAATGAACCAAATGACCAAAGTAAGGAGATTGGAGAATATCTTGTCTGCTGGCTACCCTATCACCTAGGTCGATTACGCCAACTTGAAGACGAAGACAAAGGGGCGCTGATGCCACACGAGCAGCTTCACATCGGTCAGAATTTGTACAAGCTCTTCAAGGATGAAATCGTGTTCAAGCGGCACAAGAAGACCTTCGAGCAGATTTATTGGACGCTAGAAGAGATGCGGGATGTGCAGAAGTGGTTGATGGACTCGGCAGTGGTGCGAAAGCTAGATAAAAAGTGGCGGGCCAAGGTGCAATTTGCTATAACACCGACGAGAGGCTACTTGAAGGAACTCGTTATTTTGATCGCGCGGAGCTTTCTGAGAGAGAGAAGTTGGTCGGTCTCAAACGCTCGTAGGTGGCTTCAGGAGTTCATGGCTATGGTGAGTAATGTCTGCGCGATTATGAAACTATGCCTCTTACACTCAGAGACAGGAAGACAGCAAACCAGCACAGTCTAGTATACCCTCTGACGCAAAACTCGATGACGCAAACTCCGTTGCTTCCTCCTCTTCATCATCCTCCATCGCTTCCATAAGCGATGTCAATTGGGACAAGCTGAGCATGTGGTGCCGAGATATTCTTGAGCTGGCAGACCAAGATCTCGACTCCATTTGGTATGAGCGCCTTGCTGAAGCCTCGAGCCTTACAGGAAGTGACCCTGAAGTCACGGTGTCACTCTACGAGCGTGCTATCAAGTTGAAGGACCCAAGTTGGCTGTGTCATCGCGGTCTGGGAACTACGCACTACAATCAAGGCCGAACTGCAGATGCAATTGCACAATTAACAATGGCACTCAAGGAAGTTGAACAGAAGGATGCCGTGCCGAAACCAGAGGCTAAAGATATCGTTGAGTTGCATCTATTATTAGGCGACTATACTTATGTGGAGGGGGATATGTCTAGTGCGATGGAGCATTACTCGTTCGCGTGCAAGAGCGACAATGCAGACCAGGCGACACAGGGACAGCTGGGCCATTTAAAGGCAAAGTTGGGGTCACCTGATGCGGAAAATATGCGCCATACGCTGAAGACAATGCTCATTGACGAAGGCGGTAAAGAGAGAATGGTCAATGTCTTGAAGATGGTAGCGCGAGATTTCGACCATGACGCTGTCGTTTCGAAAATGTTAGCCTTGGCCAAGGAAGATTCAGATCTATTACAGGGTATCATCGACGCTATGCAAGCGGCTACTGGAAAGTATTCAGCTATCGAAGATCGCACTACGGAGCCACTTGAGGTTGCCGACCGTTTTGCCGCGGACGAGGCTCGCGGCGTGTTATTGTACGACCTTGGCCTCGCGATCTATACGTATCACGTCTCTTTAGACGGCGTAGAACCAATCAACGAAGCTATCCGGCTTTGGGCTGAAAGTCGTGATCAACTCACAAGTATCGGCGGTCCTAATGCCTCAATTGCGCGTTCGAATGCTACCTCCGCGCTGGCGAACCATTACTTCCAGAGTATGATGGACGGGCTGCACCTTGATAATATCGACGCATTAGCAAGGCTAGCTAAGGACGACTCAGATGTCTATCACAACGATCCGGTCGGCTTCTTGGGCGCCCTGCACGCGCTGCGCGGCGATAAGGAGCAGGCCAGAGCAGTGTTAATACGACAAGTCAGACAGGCACTTCAGATTCTTTCAGATGACATGCCTGAAAATGACACAATCGGCTTCTCTATCATTCACAAAGCACTGGAGCATTACCAAGACTTTAAAAATGCGGCAGTTGCCCTGTCTCTGCTTGGACAGCCCGATCTCGTAACAGACGCGCTGTACTTCGAGATTGGGGACATACCGGAGGACTATGGCGAGGACAAGCAGCAATTGTTGGGAATAATCACCAAAATAGCTAAAGAAACAATACTGTTCGCTAAAAAACAGGTGCCGGATATCTCAAAGCAACTCGAACGCATACAAGTGGCCAAGACGTATGTCGACTCGTTAGTAATCGCTGCTCAGGCAAGCATCAAACCGGTGACAGATAGCGATGTCGACATCGAGGCCCGGAAACCTGAGACCGTCAATTCTATCACCGGCACCGCACACCGCCTAATGCAATCCCGCCTCTCAGACCTGGAACAATCGCATACTCCTGAGCTGAACCTCGCTGTCTTTCAGTGGAGTTGGTCCTGCGACGGCCGTACTACAGACGGCAAGCGGTGCCCAAATATAGCCGACTTTCATAGAGAATTCTACCATTGCATTTATTGCTCGAACCGAGACTTTTGCGGCGACTGCCTTGCTCGACTTCGCGAAGGTCACGAGGTAATTACGGTGTGTAGTTCGAAACACCGCTGGTTACGGATCCCACCACAAGGAGAGGACATATATATAGGTCGTCGAGCAAAGACTGTGCGCATTCCCAGCTACGTGCAGGCTGCCGAGGGGAATGAGCAAATTCTCATGGCTCACTATGCTGAGAATGGGGATCAAGAGGTGACTATCGAGACTTGGAAAGAAAGAGTGGCCGAAGAATGGGGCATTTCGCTCAAAGAGATCAAAGCCAGCGTGTCCAGGATGACTACTCCTGAATAAGAGGGATGAAAAGAGAAAGGCAATGTTGAAGGGAGACAGATCAAATCGAGATAGACCACGGGTTGTCTCAACATGACGAAACATGCCTTCTTGCAGGGGCTCACGAACTGCTCGTGATCTGTCACTTATCAAGCAGATGATACTCGGTCGGTATTTCCCAAAATTTAACCTCGGTAAACATGTGTTTCATATTGTACTGCTGGCATATTATTCTTATTCCGTATGTGTTGAGATTGAAAAGACATTGCTTTTTACGCTGTGTAAAATGTAAACCTCCGTATCGACTCATCCGCTCTCAATTATTAACCATTTTGAACCTCTCAGTCGTCTACAAGCCAAATTGCGAAGATGGCCTCGGGATCGATAGGGATTTTGAAAGATGCGTGCCTTCCTTTCATAGAATTCAGGAGTACTGGCACCCTTCGCACCTTCCCATGCACCATTTTGACTTCCTAGCGCCGCACCCGAATCCTTAGGACTGGCACCATGGTACGCTAAACCTTCTATTCCTGAACCCGCAGAGCCGCATCGCTTGTCCCTACTTCCGACAACGACCTGATAGGGATCACACTCAGTCGAACTTATACTGTAGTCTTAGACACACTGGCGTATATAATATCTTCATTTAGCAAATTGCCATTACTCCTTAGCAGCATGTACGCACTTTAAGCTGCATTCGTTCTGAGTGATCACCGGCCTTGTGTCAAGGCGACCTTTCGTGCAATAATCACAGGATATGCTTCAACTTAAAAACACGCAGTGCATGACTTAAATTCCAGAACTATCACATACATCCAAGTCTTGATTGCAAACGTATGTATCTGGGCTAGTCAGTCAAGATGATATGCTTCCTAAACAAACGTGGGCTGTCAATTGAGAATGAAAGGTCATGTTGGAAGCGTAATAGCTATGTAATGGATAAGAATGATCTTGCAATCAGTGTGCGTGCGAGTGAAATCCACTACGATACTAGCTGTTTCTCCCAATGCCGAGCAACATTGATTGATGGTGGTGCCCGTCATAACCGAAAGTGGTAGAAAAGAGAAATTGCTTTTCAAGCGCAACAAAACATTTTGCTATTTTCTAATTGAGCAACTAAAGCTCAGTCAGATGAAGAGCTAAAATTGTCGAAAAGTCGATATCCTGTGATGCCGTATTGCCGAGCTTGCGATGTCATTTGCATGTTGGCAATTTGGAGACAACTTAGTGCATTGAATCAAGTCACCGACGCGTTGGTTCAAGCAGGACAGGTAGTAGCGTTTAAAAGTTGAATTAGGTGACGTTCGATGAGCACTAAAACGCTAAAATTGCTTAATACACTTCTCAATTAACTCTGTCCCTAACACATCTCACTCAACCATCACTTCTCAACCCCTGACACCGCTTTACATTTGAACGTCTAGACGTTTAAACAGCTGAGGCATTGTGCTCAACATTCTCGACAATGCCCTTGTCTAACTTACCTCCGTGAGACATCTCTGCGGCGAATGTAGTATGGGGACGCCATTTCGCGGATGTTCGCGGAGTTGTTTCCTCCATCATCTTGTCCACTTGCTCCAGAGTGAGGCCCTTTGTCTCGGGGACGAGGAAGTATGAGTACACAAACGCACATGTACACAATCCTCCCCAAACGAAAAATACGCTCGATTTCAGGTTTCCACGTTTAGTTCCAACCATGTAGGTGCAGACTCTAGTTGATTGATCAATGTGTAAAGAAGGGGCTGTTGCGGAGCTAGTAAGCAAGTGTCCCAGCTCGTGCCTCAATCACGCATTCCTTTTCAGCCTCGGAAGTGCTATAGCTGTGAATGTTCGATCTGGTTCGCATGATACGCGCGGTGAAAGTTGCCAGTCTGGTTTAGAAGTCAATGTGTGCATGGCGTAGTACGCAGCTGAATGTCTAAAATAGATAGAGTGAGAGTCATTTTACACTGGCTGGGCAGGTCACTGGGCTCGTAAATGTCGAGAACTAGGCTATAGATATACCGATAACATGCCCTTCTGTACCGCTTTGAGTCGAGTAAGAGTCTCTCCACAGCACCTACTCCACAGCATCGTGTCTGTGTCATAAATCATCAGATTCTAGCTCTTCTGTCATCGATACAACCGAAAGGCTTCCAAGTCTCTCAAGTTTTCAACGTGTTAGTCATTGAAACAAGACGGCCACCATGACCGTCGAGGCTCTGCCGGATCCGGATCTAATCAAATCGACAACTGTTCTTTGCATTCGCGAACCAAAGCTGTTTGCCACGCACTCCTGGCTCTATTTGATCACACGGTGATGATCAGGGAGGCATGAAATCAAGCGTCATTCAATTAATTGTAGTATGCGACCTCTACAGTTGCCGATATACTGACTCATTCATCCCCTAATTAAACTCTCCGGACTTAGCTGGGCTTGCCAATCATCTCTCCCATCACTCTACAAACCTCTGTCGTGTTCGGACATGCCCTTAGACCGCCGAGGAGCGGTGTTCAACACTGTCCACCACGGCCTTGTCGAGCTTGCCACCGTGCGCCATTTCAGACGCGAAAGTGGTATGTGGCCTCCACTTGGCAGAGGTCCTCGGGGTCGTCTCCTCCATCATCTTATCAACTTGTTCCAAAGTCAACCCCTTCGTTTCCGGTACCAAAAAGTACGAGTAGACGAAGGCACAAGTGCACAATCCGCCCCATACGAAGAATACGCTCGATTTCATATTTCCGCGATTTGTTCCCACCATGTAGGGCGTGATGACGGCGATCACGGTATTCCAAGCCCTTGTAAACGATTAGAATTACGTTGTTTTGATCGTAAAAGGATCGTGGGAGTTGTGGTTTTGCAAAAAAGGGAAAAGGGGTGAAAAGTGGGGAACGGGGAAAAGGGGTCAAGGGGAGGAGACGGCAACTCACCAGTTCGAAGCTGTCGACAAACCGACACCACGGGAACGAATAGGCAGCGGGAAAATCTCGCCAATCACAATCCAGGCACCGGGACCCCAGGTAGAGGCGAAAAAGAAAATGAAAATCGCAATGAAAGCGATCTGTGCATTAACGGCAGGGATGTTGTCGGCCAGGGAAAGGTCAGCATCATTGGGATCTGGGTGAGTATGATTGAAACCGATAGTAACACCGATAATAGCAACCAAGAACTGGCAGATCAACATGCCAAAGGCGCCATAGATGAGGATAGTGCGGCGACCGAAGCGCTCGACGGTCCAGAAAGAAAGCGGTGTGGAGCACACATTGACCAGTGTGAAGATGAGAGAGATCAAGAACTCATTTGAAATGGCACCAGTGGACTTCAGGAATGGCGTGGAGTAGTAGAAAATGAAGTTGACTCCAGTCCATTGTTGCATCATCTGCAGGGAAGTACCGAGGATAGTACGACGTAGGTTGGATTTGGATGACCAGAGACCACCCTTGAAGCAGTTGGCCCAAGAGCCGAACCAGGTAGTTGAGGGAATGAGCTGTCGCTCGTACTCTTCGTTGGCAACAATCTCGGCAAGTTCGACCTGAATATACTCGGACTCCTTAGGCTGGCCACGGAGACGAGATAGCGAGGCGGTGGCAGCAGCAAGGTTACCACGCTTAACGAAGTAGCGAGGAGAGTCGGGCAGGAGGAAGAGACCACCGCCAAGAATCAGAGCCCATGGGAACTGAATGGCGATCGGAATACGGTAGGCACCAGTATCCTTGCGGTTCTTGGTGGCGTAGACAACAATGGAGGCAAGCATGATACCAATGGTAATGCAGAATTGGTAGCCAGCAACCAGTGAACCACGGACCTTTCGAGGGCACTATTCTGCGTGTTAGTCTTGAACATCAGAATATATCAGGGAGGTTGATGCTTACAATCTCAGACATGTACAGGATGACTACGGCAGACTCAAAACCGACACCAACACCGGCAATGAGACGACCAGCAACGATAGCACCCAAAGAGGAGCCCTCGCCAGTAATCATCTGAATGATGCAACCAATCAGGTAGATAAAGCAGCCAATGATGACAGTCCACTTGCGGCCGATGAAGTCGGCCACATCGCCAGCAATGATAGCACCAAAGAATGTACCGCAAGACAGGATAGAGACGATGAGGGAGGTGTGGCTCTCAGAGACTTCTGTGGCACCGACGTGCTCGACAGCGTCGATGAAGATTTGAGAACCAAGAACACCATTGATGTAACCAGAATCGTAGCCGAAGAAGATACCGCCGAAGGAGGCGAAGGCACAGATGAGGTAGGCCTTCCAGGTGACGGGAGCCTCGATACGCTCAACATCTTCGGTTGTTTGCAGGCCGTTGGCGATGACGCCGTCGACCGTCTTCTCGTGAGTGTCAGCCATGTTGTCGACGAGGTTCTTCGTTTTTCCAAGAAGAGGAGAGACGAAGACTATTAGTGGTGAAGATCGACAGAGGAGAGAAGAAATCGTAGGGCATGGGGAGGGAGGACGCACGACCTTTTATCAGCCGTGCGCGCCCTCATCCCCAGTCGTGTCTCTCCACTGGCTGTGCGGTACCCTTGCTGGTCGTTCCCTCGTCCCTTACCCCGTGCAACAGTTGGACGGGGCCATTGTTACATTGGGTGATTGGGAAATTGCTCTGTGGTAATCTCCTGGCGAGGTACCTCTGTATTTCCACGCGGGTACAGTACTCCAATTGCCCAGCAACAACATACCAGTGTGACAATCAGTGAATCTACGACTAGACTAGGATGTAGCTCTCGGAGGCCGACTCGGTCAGAGTCAGCCACCGAGTCACAAGCACGTTTGGTAGTGGCATTGGCATGCAAATGGACACGGGATGGGCGCGATGGCTTGCTGGCTTGATCGGCTTGTGCAGGCAAAGCTGGGGAAATTCACTGTTCAGAACCGTGTCTTAAGCTCTTAAGGCGCATCGCGTGGCGTTTTGCGGGGCGGAGTGTATTGTTCTTCACCACTACCAGCACGCCTAGTCACCATCGCGCAAGAAGCAACGGCAGCATTGAGCCGGGTCCAGCGAATGGACGCTCACGAAGTAAGACCGATGCCAACCCCGGCCAACCCTGGTCTGGGTCCAAACCAGCATCGACTTAGGAGCCCGAAAGACGACAAAGAGAGATTCGGGGGGTGGTGGGGTCTCCACACTGACCAGAGAAGCGCCGAGAAGAGCCTGCAAAATGCCCATTCTTTGCGGCGCCGTACGGCGCTGAATGCTCCTGATTCGCCCTCTAGCCCAATTGCGGGCATGGGGTCCCCTCAATGTCTTGGCTTGACAGTTGGTCTAGCTTGTTCTGGGCTTCTAGGTCAAGGGTTAGAAGCGAAGGGAGAACAAAAAACTGTCAGCTCATGCTCTTGCCAACTCGACTCAGCCAGGCCAACGTGACCTCGACATAGACCATCACGACCAACAAGGGGCGGCCCCAGATCTGCATTTGGGTTTAACGCCTTGCCACCTGAATCTGGAGTCGAGCCCCTTCTCCAGATTCCAATTCGATCGCGAGGATGGCCGTATCGAGATTCATGATGATCAGTCAATCGAAGTCTTGACTCTTCATCAGAACACCAAGGGCGATCCGCACGGCACAGGACGAAACCCTCCATGTGGCCTCCCCCGTTGCTCCATTGATCTTCTATGTGATCGCTTGTTAATCTTCCCGTCCATCCTTCGATCCTTCCATCCATCCATCTCGCTTCAGGGCCTCATACACTGTTACTTTTCGGGGTTGCACCACATTCATGCACATACGAATTCTACAGTGGCTGGCCCGGAACACTGCATGCATCTCTCCTGAACGAAGCAACGGATGCTGCAGCTTGCCGCGATGCTGGTGCTGTTTGCCATATTGAAAGGAGGATGCCATGTTCCGAGAGAGCGGCCGTCCAACGTCGGACGTGTAGCCAAACGGGCCAATGCTCGGTGGTACTTGAGACGCTAATTGCCTCCAGATGATTTAGATGCAGCATGGTTTGGCTAAATTGACCGAGTCGTGGCCGCTGCGGAGGGTTTGCTTGGGCAGACCGTTCCGGCCAGTAGGAGACCGTTCCTCAACTAGATTTCTCCAACTGCGGGTGTCCCGATGCGCCTGGTATCCAATCAGAGTTCAATCTCCGGCACTAATTCTCCATACCCGCATCCCCATTCTCCTCCATACACCTCCATACGTGCTCCGTGTTGGCTCCAAACATGGAAACATATCGTGCGTGCAATCTGGGTTGGACTCTGGGGGCTCCGCGGCGGCTCTGCCTGACTTGATCAGGACCGTTCTTGAACTCTCTATGGTCATGCCTTTCTTGGATTGCGCCAATCTGGTAGCCACCAGGTCTACACCTGCCTGCTGACTTGAAGACTTGCTAGTATTGGTCTTTCGGTCCGTAGGTGATGATCACTCCATCCACTTACCGAATCGTATCGCTGAGTCGAGCGCCTCTCGCCTGATCAGCAAATTCCAGATCTCGAGTTCGCATCAAGGCGCGGGATGTTACTCTTTTCGTGCATCCTCGGCTCTGATACTGCCCGGAAACTGTTCACAGTCTATCCGCGGGGTGCGACATTGGAATGCCTGCCGTGGCTCGTGACTCGTGTTTCTCACGTTGCACCAGGCTCCAGTCCTGTTCCTTTTTCTGGCCAGACCCTGGTAACTTGGCTTACCCAGCAACCTGGTCCCTCGTGCTGCACGATGGAATGCACCAATTCTATTGTTGGTTTACCGACAGAATAACAATGTTCATAATGCAGTATTCCATACTGAGTTGGGGGAGCAGG